ATAAATATTTGTAGGATAATTAACACAATAGCCTCCATTTGACCTTGAAAATATGCTTGGATATTTGTCCTTGGACATTATCTGTTCCTCAAAGCTCACAGTTAACCTCGAGCTATTCTCTCAGAAAACTGTTCGCTTCTCAGAACAGATAATGTCTGTGGACAAATATCCAAGCATGTTTTCTTGCCAAATGGAGGCTATTGCTTATATAACCCTTGTAACCACTGGCAATACTTAACAGGAAGCCATCTGGACCAAGAATGCCATCTGCTCTGGTGAAGAGTATTTTCCAGCATTTCTCCAAAGCAAAGCTGTCTAAAGAAGCTCTTCAAGTTGTTGAAAATGGGTAATGACATGTTTGGTAATTTAGTTTTCCAATGTTATTATTAAATATTGACAGCAAATAGAGAAATACGGTGGTGCCACTGCATGAATAGTCTAGGGATTTGTGTTTTGGTAAGAAGTATACAACAGTGAATTTAAGGCATTCAATGCTTCAGGTAGTTGCATGGAAACACAGGGAATTTTCTTTGTCAAGTAACATACAGCAAGACCTTGCATAAATTGATGAACCTCTTACTGCTATAATTTTCCTACTAATTGAGTTGTACAGATTGCCCACCCTTTTGTACTTACAAAAATATGTTTTAAAACAACTTTAATTTTCCAACTATAAAATTGTTTTACAGGTCAAACCTGTTTTTTAAACAAGTGTCTGGTGACTTAATGGCCTACTGTCGGCACGCTCATAGAACAACTATTGAACTTGCTGATGTGGAACTCCTCATGAAAAGGTTTGCATTAGAACCGTATGTCTGCAACATTGACTTTCATTATCCTAGATGTGTGCCTGCATGCCTACAGGTGGCCTATATATAAACATTTTGTTAGCTTAGTAAAGGTTACATGTAAAGTCTGTTGGAATCTAAATGAATTGGAGTGGCCAAGCAGTTCATTGGTTCCCTGGTTTCTGTAGAGTAATGTGACCGGAGGCAAGTTCCTTTGGGTTTGAAAGATGTGATGTAAGTCTGCCTGTCATTGTGCCCAGAAAAAGAAACTTATCAGAACTTAAAGCAAAACTTCTAACTGGTGGGAAAGGTTACTTCACCACCACCATCAAAGACGAGAGTTCATGGTGTGAGAACAGGTTTAGTGACTCTTGAGTTAGTGTTATTTCCCTTTGTTTTTCAGGCAAGGCTTCATAACAGACAATCAGTCACTGTACTCACTAGTTGAAAAGTATCTTCCACTGGAATACAGACAAGAAATCATACCAACAGTACAAGCTGGGAACAAGATAGTTCTAAAATAAAACTTAATGTAGGCTTAAACTGTGGCCTTGCACCCGAAACATGGAAGCACACAATACAAAGAATGAACTTGCGTACGTGGCAATCCGGCATAAAATACCGTATGTGAGAAATCCAAAGAAACGTATACCGTAGTTCAAGAGTTGACAATATTATACTTGGAGAAAAGAAGAGCTGAAGCTCACCCTAGCTTTCTGGCAATTCACAAACAGTAGATAATATTCTAATTCTCTTGGCAGGACTCATTATGGGACTATTAAAATGTGGAGGAAAGTTGTCAAATTCAGTTGACAATATTTTTTTAACATATGCCTCCTCATACCCTTCCTTTGCATTTTACATAATTATGTAGTTCCAGATCTGCATAGGCATATGATCTGGGGGGGGGGGGNGAGGGGAACTGCAGCCCCCCCCCCAGCTTTTGAAATTATGTGATTTTGCAGGCAAAACACTCATGATTCGGGCAACGATACTTGAGAGAAAAGATTACAAAATAATATGCTGTTGGCGTGATTTCCAAAACTCGTAAAAAAAGTTTCTAGTTAGTTACTTTTTTTAGAACTTTTTCTTTTAATAAGTTTTAGATTTTACTAGAGCTAGATTACGACTGTCGATAGAGATCAACGAGCATGCAAGCTTTGAATAGATCTATTTTTGGAATTATAACAGTCTCATTAGGTGTGGGATTTGTTAACGTTTTTGTTTTTCACGCAGCGCCCCACCAAGTTCGATGGTGCCCGTACGCCTATGCAGATCTGTAAAATACTGTCTTCACATTAGACTTTTAACACAAGGCTGTGTGACACTGCACACCTTTTGAACAGGTCCTTTTGTCCTCTGTGGCTTAGGTGAATCATTGTTTGTACATACTCCTAGTTTTTGTACATATTGACTTTGAGACTATAATTTTATTATGTTAAGATTATTTTTAAACAAACTCTCAATAAAGGTTAACATGGTCATTTGAGTTTGAGTGAATCTCAGTTGCATGAATAACTGTTCAATAACGGCGTCGACAAAACCTGGATCGGATCACAGAAAAAAAAAAAAAGCTTTAAAGAAAAAAAAATCCAAAAAATATCAAATCGTTTATAAGATAATAATAAATAAAAAATAAAAGTGGAAAACTAAAATATGTTAAATGAAAATAAGAATCCCGAGTTTGACGCAATGACATGTTAATTAAAGAGAATGACAAAAGGTCATTTAAAAAGCCACATAAGCGCCTAATTTACGACGAATTTAAATTGTAATGAACAGGCAGATGTAGTTATATTTGAACGTTAG